CTTGCCTGCTCACCCCCAACTTCCCCCACCGCCGGCCTGATCACCCCAAACTGCCCTCCCCTCCTGGCCTGATCGCCCCTAGTCCCATTACTGGGTCGCTGGGGCAACCCAGGATGCCAAGCCTTCCTGCCTGCTCTCCCGCTCTCTGGCCAGGCTTGGCTTGGCCCCAGCGACCCAGGAAGCCAAGCCTTTCCAGCCAGCTCCATGGCTCTGGCAGGCGCCTCCATCTTTGTCACGTCAATTTGCATATTCCCTCCTTATTGGCTGTGGGTGCCGCCATCTTTATCGTGAAGTGACAGTTAATTTGCATATTACTCTTTTATTAGATTGGATTGCACTGACTTTTCACTTTCTTCAAATGCATAGGGTCCTACTTTCTATGTCCTCTTCAACTTGGAGCAGTAACTTTCCTTTCACTATGTTTGTAGCTTCACATTTTACTTGTCTGAATCCATGTTAGCATGTTCATTTTGCTCTTTTAATCATCACAACTTGCCTGCAAATGCTGTCCTGCAGTTTCATTTATCACCATCGAATTTCATCATCCTGCTATCATGATGTATGTACTTCTCTTTTTTATGGGACTATTTTAATGAATGTCATTCCACTTATCTGGTTGTGTAATTATTTTTAAAACGTCTTGACGGTAGGTGCACATCCATCAGGTGTACCTGATTTTTCTCTTCATTCTACATAATGTAACTTACAACCTGGTTTTCCCCCCACCTTTCTGAACTTTATAGTGCCATTTGCCCAACAGTTTCACTACAAGTTTGTGCGGCTTCCCCAGGTAGCTTGATGTATTCTTTCTGGATGTCTCCTGAAGGTCTCCTTCTTTACATAGCAGAACTCTTTCTCTACAAACTCATTTTACTCTGAAGTGGTTGTGTCTGATGAGTGTTAGTTGAAATCAAAGATCTTAGAAGCGAACGCTCTCTTCCCCCCAATTTTTGATCTATCCCTTTGCCTTCAGGAAGACACATGTTCTCACTTACCAGGCAGTGCAACTGAAGCCCCGAGAAGTGACTTGTTTAAGGTCACACCTCTGTGAAGTAAGCAAGCAGAAGCTGGGCTCCACCTCCCCGAGAGAGAGTTGCAGTGGGAGGCTGGAGAAGGCAGTTTGCAAGGGAAGTCTCTGAGTAAGTAAACTAGGTCATTGGTAATGGTGTGGAGAAATTATTGGTGCTTGGACTCAAATCTAAACCCCTTAAGGAATACTAATAAAGACGATTGAAAAGCTGGGTAGTGAGAACTACGGAAGAATGGGACTGTGCTCAAACATAGCCCAGTGGTCTAATGTTCCAGCCACCTAACGCTGCAGAACAAAGCACCCCAAAACTTAGGGGCTTCAAACAATATTTTGCTCACAAATCTGCAGTCTGGGTAGAGTTCTGCAGGGACAGCTCTACTTCCTCCAAGCTAGCTGGGATAACTCAGAACCTGAGTTAGAATCGTCTAAAACAGTGGTTCTCAACCTTCCTAATGCCACGACCCTTTAATACAGTTCCTCATGTTGTGGTGACCCCCAACCATAAAATTATTTTCGTTGCTACTTCATAACTGTAATTTTGCTACTGTTATGCATCATAATGTAAATATCTGATATGCAGGATGTATTTTCATTGTTACAAATTGAACATAATCAAAGGATAGTGATTAATCACAAAAACAATATGTAATTATATATGTGTTTTCCGATGGTCTTAGGCGACCCCTGTGAAAGGGTCGTTCGACCCCCAAAGGGGTCACGACCCACAGGTTGAGAACCGCTGGTCTAAAGGCTCCTTGAATTCAGACACCTGGGGGACAGAACAGCTAGGGCTGCTGGGCTCCTTGGACATCGCTCTCTATCTTAGCAAACTGATGCCCACCCTTCTCAGGTCTGGGCGAAGCCTGAGAATCTGCACTCCTCACGGGTTCCCAATGCTCTTGCTGGTGGGCTGGTACTGCGCTTTAAAAACCAAAGGCTTTGCCCTAACCGGTTTGGCTCAGGGGATAGAGCGACGGCCTGCGGACTGAAGGGTCCTGGGTTTGATTCTGGTCAAGGGCATGTACCTGGGTTGCGGGCACATCCCCAGTAGGGGGTGTGCAGGAGGCGGCTGATTGATGTTTCTCTCTCATCGATGTTTCTAACTCTCTATCCCTCTCCCTTCCTCTCTGTGAAAAATCATGTGTGTGTGTGTGTAAAACAACAAAAAAAACCCAAAGGCTTTTAGTTCTGGAAATAGCGGCCATAGCTGAAGCCTCGGCAGATGAAGGAACCAAAGGGACCCAAGAGCAGTGGGTGGAGAAGATGACCCAAGAGGTGAAGTGGCCTGATTTTAACAGGCCCCAGTTCTCTGTTCAAATCGCCACCAGAGGTGAGGGGGTTGAGGGGGCGTGGAAGGCAGACACCACCGTGTCTCCTCAGCCGCGGTGGTGAGCGCCCCCTGCCGACCATCACCAGGTGGTGCCACCCGGGACTGCACAGAAGTGCTGCCGGCCGAGGTGGGCGGGGCTAAGCCGGACCAGCCTGCTGCGTCCACGTGAGGTTGGGAGGACGGGACACGCCCCAGAAAACGCACATCCTCACCCCGTGGGCGGGGCCGCCGGGACGCCGGGCCGTGATTGGTCAGCGCCGCCCGTGCGCGGTGACGTTTGCCCGGGTGGAACGTTTCTAAGAGGAGCGCGGGAACGGAGAAGTGCAGGGTCCGGAAGGTATCGGGAAGACGTAGAAAAGGTTGCTCCGCTGCCAGGTGCTCCTGGGGAAAGCCGGGGTGCTGCCCCACGGGGGTGCTTCCCCAGGGGCTTCCGGTCCTGGCCGCCGGCTGCCTCCCAAGGGCCCAGGTGAGCATCCGAGGGGACCTCTGGGTGTGTGTGTGTGTGTGTGTGTGTGTGTTGGAGGAGGAGGTGACTCTGTGCTCGGAGAGGAGAGGAGTGAGAGGAATATGCCCTCAGTTTCCCTGAGGCTCCTGGGGCTTCCTCTCGGCCCCACCACTCTCCTTCCTGAGCCTTTAATCACTGGTCTGATACGGCTGGGCCTTGCGACTGCAGGAAACCAGACCCTGATTCGTTCTCCCAACAGTTAAGTGGCTGCTATGAGTGAAGCCCCGCGTTAAGCTCAGGGACGACACAGGTCACTGTGTCCTCGGTACTCAGAGGCGCCAGGCACAGAGCAGACGGGTCATTCATATTCGAGCGGAGCACAGCCCCTGCGGAGAGGGCGTTTCCCGGGAAGACAGTAACTATTGCATGGTGTGCGGGGCGCTCAGTTCCAGGTGTATGTGGGAATACTTCGGGGAACTGATACCCGATCTAAGGTGTGAAGGAAGAGAAAAAGAATGGAAAAGGCAAAGCCAATGCATTCTCTGTCTAGCTACTGCCAGTGAGCCTCTACACGCCCAGTTGTAGATACATAGTTGCCTGTTCTTGCAAATAAATGGAAAACGCTTAGGAGAGTATTGTTTCTTTTATTCTCAGTAGGTACCGGGGAAGATGACAGAGGAACTGGGTCTCCCGGGACAGGACTCTGATGGCGGTAGTGAGGAGGTGGTCCTAACTCCCGCAGAGCTCATTGAACGGCTGGAGCAGGTGAGCACCCCAAGTAGAATCCCCTTGCCCCCATCTTGGCCTTTTTATTCAGTCCAACTGTGCAAATGTCAGGAATCGGGAAATGAAGAAATGGAACTCAAAGCTTATTTCAAGAGAAGAGGGACTGGATCTTCCCATCTACACAGAAATTAAAAATAGGGGTGCCAGCCTCTGCTAGAGACCTCATTATGTCAAATATAAATCCTCAGATGGGGCCAGGAGGGAGCAGCCTGGGGTACATTGACTAGAACAGTTCACAGAGCAAGCATTTGTTCCTTGCAGGGACTACAGAAATGAGGTGGTGACTTGTACATTTTTGCCTTAGTCCCTTGAAACATCTGCTGGTTCTCCTGTAGAATGCCTGGTTTAGCAAAAAACGACTGAAACACTTTTTTTTTTTTAAGAGAAACCTGGTATTATTATTATTCACCCTTTTCCTTCCATATACTTTATTTTTTCAACTGTTCTCTATATTCCACTTCTTATCTAAAATCATTTATAGGCTATCTCTCCATTCAGTCATAATAGCTATGGTTTGATTGTTTCCTGTGTGCCAGTAACTGTTATTTACAATTACTATCTTGTGAAGCTATGGTGTTCAGACTACCTGTATTTAAATTCCTCCATGCCGCTGGTCTATTATGTGACCTTAGGCAAATCACATAGCTTGTCTCAAGCACGTTTTTGACTGTAATATAGAATTAATAATAGTAGCTACCTCACAGAATTGTTGTGGGGATTAAATGAGATAATACACATATAAAGTGCATAGCATGTTATATTATCTGACACATGATAAACTCTCGTTGAATATTAGCTGTGAGTAGTAATAATTCTTACAACCCACTAAGGGAGGTATTGCTGTTATCTCCATTTTACAGATGAGGAAACTGAAGCTTAGAGATTTGTAAAGGAATTTACCCAAGGTCATACATTGGCAGCAGAGCCAGGAAATAAACTAGGTCACTGACCACAAAATGTATGTTCTTCTCTTAAAATATATTTTTATTGATTTCAGAGAGGAAGGAAGAGGGAGAGAGAGATAGAAACATCAAGGATGAGAGAGAATCATTGATTGGCTGCACGCCCCCTACTGGGGATTGAGCCCACAACCCACGCTTGTGCCCTTGACTGGAATCGAACCCTGGACCCTTCAGTCCGCAGGTTGACACTCTATCCACTGAGCCAAACCAGCCAGGGCCAAAATGTATGTTCTAATCCACTACACCTACTGCCTTATTCTTGCCTACTCCCTTTCTAGAACTCACTCATGTTTGTTACTTTAGTACTTGTATTCTTCATTCTTTCCTACCATATGTGCCATCATAATTTTAAAATTATATCCTAATCCTTACTATATAGTAGTGATTCTTAATTTGTTTTTATATCCCAGACTTTTTAAAAAAGCTGGCCCTTCTTCCCAAAATAACACATCTATATATCCATGCAAAATTTGGCATATGATTTCAGAAGGTTCACAGACACCCTAAAATCTGCTCTCCTAGTTTGTGAACCCCAGTTTAAGAGCCCCTGATTTATTAGGAAAGAATTCATTGAACAAAAAGCACAAGGCATAAAGGAAAAAACTGATAAATTCAACTAAATTAAAGTTAAGAACTCTGTTTTTACACCTTGAAAGTAAAAAGACATGCCACAAAACTGGGAGAAAATATTTGCAACATATATAACTGACAAAAGATTAGTATCCACAGTACATAAACAAACTTTACAAACTGACCAGTAGGAAAATGAAGTCTTAACAGGCATCTCCCAGAAGCAGAAAGCAGGATGGCTGACAGTCATATAAAAAGATGTTCAACCTTTTTAGTAGTCAGGAAAATTAAAATTTAAATCCCAATGAAATATCACTTCATACCCATCAGATTGGCAGAAATGAAAAAAATGAACAATATAAAATATTGGGAATTGCACTTGTATACTGCAGGGAGCATATAAATTGATACCATCATTTTGGAAAATAATTTGTTATTGTAAAGTTGAAGGCCCACATATCTTGTGGCTCAATCATTCTACTCCCTGGTATATACCCTAGAGAAAACTTTCATGTGTACTCCAGGAGGCATGCACAAACTGTTCATAGCATTGCTTGCAATAATACTGTAAACACCCCAATATCCTACAATAGAATAGATTGGATAGAACAATAGAATGTATAAAAAAAATTATGGCATATACACACAATGAGAAAACAACAACAATAAAGTGAATAAAAGATAGCTCCTGCTACAGCATGGATAACAACCAGGAACATAACATAGAACAACAAAAAATACATTGCTGAAGAAACGATTAAATTCAAACTTTTTCAAAACGATTGTTGAAGGAAGAGCTTGTCAGCTTGGATGATGTGGCACACACTGGTGTGCTGCATGTGCCTCAGTGATGTTAACCCTTCACTCCCGGGCAGCCAGAGCCACCAGGCCGGGTGTCATCGGGGCTCCTGGAAGGCAGCCTGAGGATAGTGGCATCTGACAGCACAGCCTCAGCTTGGCAGTGGGCGAGCATGACTTGTTCCTCTGGCCTGATGCTCTCCTGCAGTGCCCTGAGTGCAGCCAGGGAGTTGGTCCACCACCTGGACAGCTTTTGCAGACACAGACTGAGGCTGCATAGCCTAAGAAGCACCCTGACAAGGGCCACTGATAAACACAGCTCCAGGAGTGTATATGGGGTATTCCTGAATGTCTATAAAAACTGACTTAAAAGTTATTACCTACAGTGCATAGTTTTTCATTTTAATGACTAGAGGCCCGATGCATGAAGATTCGTGCAAGAATGGGCCTTCCTTCCCCTGGCTGCCAGCACTGCCTTCACTCTGGCCCAGAGCCACCTTTCTGTCTTTGCTCCGGCCCGGAGCCACCTTTCCGCCTTCCCACACTGCCCAGAGGCCCGGAGCAGCTGGGGCGGTACGGAACGTTGACAACGCAAGCGTCCCACCCCATCCCTGGCCCCTCAACACCTGTGTATGCAAATTAACCCGCCATCTATGTTGTGTTAATTTGCATACTCCTGATTGGCTGGTGGGCATCGTGAAAGTACGGTCAATTTGCATCTTTCTCTTTTATTAGTGTAGATTGTATTAGTTTGCTAAGACTGTATGTCAAAGTACCACAGACTGGGTGGCTTAAAGAACAGAAGTTTATTTTCTCAACTGTGGAGGCAAGAAGTCTAAAATCAAGGTGCTGCTGATTGGGAAGTACACACTGTATACTGCAGTGAGCATATAAATTGATACAGTCAACAGGTTGATTTCTTTTGAGGCCTATCTCCTAGGCTTGTAGATGGTCGTCTTCTCCCTGTGTCTTCACATGGCTTCCCTCTGTGTGTCTGTGTTCAAGTGTACCCCCTTAAAAGGACTCCAGTCATATTGGATCAAGGTCCACGTAAATGACCTCATTTTAACTTAAAGACCCAATCTCCAAATACAGTCACATTCTAAGGTAAAAGGAGTTAAGACTTCGACCTATGAATGAGGGGTGGAAGGAGACACACTTTAGCCCACAACATGAACAGATTATCATTAAAAATGTTGATCAAGAACAAGATGTAGCCCTAGCCAGTTTGCCTCAGAGGATAGAGCGTTGGCCCGTGGACTGAAAGGTCCTAGGTTCGATTCTGGTCAAGGGCTCGTACCTCAGTTGCAGGCTCAATCCTCAGCCCTATTTGGGGCGCATGTGGGAGGCAACCAATCAATGTCTCCCTCTCACATCAGTGTTTCTCTGTCTCTCCCCCTCCCTTTGCTCTCTCTCAAAATCAATGGAAAAATATTCTCGGGTGAGGATTAAAAAAAAGAACCAGATGTTGCCATTTTAAATATAGAACCTAATTATTAAAAAAAAAAAAAAGAAGAAGAAGAAGAAGACCATGGATTTAAACACAAATTTCTTACTGAAAATTTTGAAAAGATTTTATTTTAAAGTTTTATACTAATATTCCCCCCGTTTTATATTTTATCATAATTTCATAATGTAAATGAGAAATCTCATCCCCAAATCTAGTGCATTTTACCCCAGTGTACGGTACCAGCACTATCATTTTTAAAAAAATGATAGCTGTTTTTTTTCTTGCCCTGTCATGTAAAAATTGGAAAGCACTACTAAGAGTTAAAAACATGTAGGGAAACTGTACAGAATATTAAACACCAAATTCAGGCTAATGATTACCTCTGAGAAGGGAAGGACACAGAAACTTAAAATAATGACAGTGTTTGATAATGAAGTTAAATGTACACAGATATTTATATCACTATTCTTCATGTTCATATGTATTTTATAAGTATTTTGTAACTATTAATATTTAATAAAGTCAGTTAAAAAGAAAAACTTCTTTATAAGTTTTCCATGACAGTTTGCTCTTTCATTCATTATTATGTCTTGTCTTTCTGGGTAACTTCTGCAACACTAGTACAGAAGCTTGAGCACCTGAAAACGTTTATGATAGTAGCAATACCCAGTACTTAAGAATGTGTCTTGATGGTGATAATTGGAGAAGCAGAGACTCAATGATGTCAAAAGAAGTAAACTGAGCCTAATTGGCATGTAATTCTGAGCTGTGCTAAAACTAAATTTTCTGTATCTGAAAGATAAGTAAACATTTCCTCAGTCACCTGTGGGCATTTTCATTTTCTAAGCCTTGGTAATTTCTGAAATGCACCAAGCATCTGTGCCTGAGTCATAAATTAGGGATTTAAACTCTTGTTCCAAAGCTGTTTAATAGATGAATATCCACTTCTATTGCCATTCTTTATATTCTTGGACATTAGTAAATAACTTAATCTGTGTTTTCTCATCAATAAGATGAGGTTAACTATATTTTTTTCCTCTCAGATATTATGATGAACAAAAACTATTTGCAAAGTGCTTTGAGCTTCAGGAATGAAGAGATGTATAGATTTATTAGTGTTACTGCATCTCCCCAAATAGATAGGTGCTAGTGCCCCCTGGTGGAAATTGCAGGTGACGGGAATGTGTTGATGCTACTTGGTGAAAGGTACTGTTTGAACACCAGGTGGTGTTACTCTCAGCAACAGGTTTTCTGACAACATTTTTGAAGTGAACAGTGATTTTTTTGTAGTGTTGGTTAAATATAAGGTTGCAAACCCAATTTCCTACTAAAAGAAATGGAAAAACTGTTATTAAACAGCTTGCCTTCAACACATTTCCAGTATTTCCAACTGGTAGGCAGTTTTCTTTACCTGAAACAGCTGTGATTTTCATGGGGTATGTACTGACTTACAGGGTTGTTTTGCTCTATTATGAGTAGTGTGTGTGTGTATGTGTGTATAATTTTTTTTTTTTGGTGTTGTTTTTTAGGCTTGGATGAATGAAAAATTTGCCCCTGACCTTCTGGAAAGCAAGCCTGAAATTGTGGAATGTGTCATGGAACAGTTAGACCACATGGTAAGAACTGCTTATCCCAGGGTTATAAAGCAGGAGAATATTAAAAGGGTTTGTCAGTATAGTGAGAGGTCTGATAGCAAATCTGTTTTGTTTGGCCCAGTCTAGTTTGTTTTTTAAGTACTGAATTAGTTATCTACATTTACAAAGCATGAAAGTACCTGTGAATATCTGAATATCAGCTTCCCATGAGAAGTCTAAAAACCTATCATCACCAGCCCCATGTTTTTATACGAAAACAGCTGACCAAGGCAAGGTACGGGCCTCCCCCTTTCAGTGAAGTCTCAGTGCCCCATAGTCCCTAACTGCTCACCTTTCTCCTATATCTTACCTGCCTGTTCCCAGTAGACATGTGAGTTTGTGGCCCTTGTCTTAGATGAGCTTGGCTTAAGTCATTATCAACCTCAGATTAGCTTTAAAACATTGATATTTTATGGTTTCTCAATTGATGTTTTAACTACTTTTTAGACTTTAAACATTTCTTCTATCTGCTGTATTATCTCCTTTACAATTGGGTTGGAGCTCTTGTAGGCCCTTCTGACCAATCATATTCAGATTCTATTTAACTGTTCTAAAAGTACAGGTACACCTAGTTTATATGTGTGTTTTAATATATTTTTATTGAGTTTAGAGGGAGGAAGGGAGAGGATATAGAGATAGAAACATCGGTGAGAGAGAAATATCGATTGGCTGCCTCCTGCATGCCCCCCACTGGGGATCGAGCCCTCACCCTGGGCATGTACCCTAACCGGGAATCCAGCCATGACCTCTTGATTCATGGGCTAGTGCTCAACCACTGAGCCACACCATCCAGGCCAGGTACACCTAGTTTTATTGCACTTCACATATGTTGAGTTTTTTACAAATTGAAGGCAAGACCCTCCCACCCCCCACCAGCAAAAAGATTATGACGCGCTTTATTGTGGTGGTCTGGAACAAAACCCACAATATATCTGAGGTATGTCAATGAGTATTGTTTGAACTTTATGTGATAAGACTGAAGTCATATATTATTTGTGTAATTAAGGAATTAAAAGAAAATAGAACTCTTGGGAGTATTTTGTTCTCCTTTGACCTAAATGTAGTGTTCAAACCCTCAACATTGCCAATGATGATGGTCCTTGTGGGCTCTGTGTAGATTAAACAAAGAAGGTTCTTAGTCTTTGAATATCATGTTTTTTATAAACTTCATTTTCCCTTTTAATAGGAAGAAAATCTCAGGAGAGCAAAGAAGGGGGACCTGAAGATCAGTATCCATCGAATGGAGATAGAGAGGATCCGTTATGTCCTTAGCAGCTACTTGCGGTGTCGGCTCATGAAGGTTTGACATGGAGATATCTGTAGGCATTAAGGCAATTCAGTCTATAATATAAACAGAACATCTTGGGGAAAACTTGGGCTGGGGCCTGGGAGGGTCCAGGCCCTGAAGATGCTGCTGAGGTCCAGTATCAGGGTAGCTAACGAGTAAGAAGACAAGAGATTGTTCTGGAGCATAGAGGGAACATGTGCTGCACACCTCTGGGAACACATTTTTAGCCAAATTATTGGCTGTGTGAATGGTGTCCCCTGGAGTTACAGCCTGGCAGTGCTGCCTTGACAGTCAACCAGAGTCTGCAGCCATCTAACTTGTAAAAATGCAGAACATTCCTATTTTGTATGGTATCTGTTTTAACCCTAGAAAGTTCTTACTTCTTGAAGTTTCTTCTCTTTGGCTCTGCTTATCCCCTTAGTTATCACTGAATGAATACATGCTCCTACATAAGAATTCTTTAGACATCTGAAAACAGTTCACGAGTCTCGTTGAAACCCTCTCAGTTAAATGTTTCAACCATTTATTTCCATTTGCTCTCCTGGTCTCTTCCCTACAGAGTTCTAGTTGGTCAGTATCCTTCTTTAATTATACCACCTGAACTGAATACAATATCTCAGTTGTAGTTTGGTCATGTTTGTGAAAAGCAGGATGGTCACTTCCCTTATTTTGGATATTAAAATGGTAATAATACTGCCTGGTATTACATTAGTATGTATGAGACTCCTCACACTGAGCTCACATGCACTCATTGTAAACTTTAACCGTATCTGAAGTTTTTAAGTTATCGTTACCCCATCCTGTCACCGTCTGGTATTTGTATGGCTGGATCTTTGACTCCTAAATGTAGGGTTTGATACTTATCCCTCTTAAGCTTAACTTATTAACTTGGGCCATTTCCATGGTCTCTAGATCCTGATCTTGTCACCTAATGTATTACTCTCTCTTAACACTTTATGTCATCGCAAGTTTGATAAGTATGTCATGAAACATCTTACCTGACTCCTTAAATAGGTCTGGGCCAATGATAGGATATTCCACCAGAGGCTTTCCCTACCCATTGACACCTCTCCATTGAATCAGTATTTTTTGTTCAACTGTTTTTGAGTCTCCCACTCTATACTGTCACCCAGCCCCAGGTTTACAGTTCGTTCCCAAAGGTGTCATAAAGACATTATCATGTTTTGAAAATATTGAGACACCCTCAACTGCCAGGCCACTCCCTTTTCTGTTGTTTTTTGGATAAATCCTCTTGGTGTTAACTACTTACTTTTCTTTGAATTCATAAACCATCTTTTAAATTATCTATTCTAATATAATGCCACATATCAGGGTTAAGGACACTAATCTGTATGTGTAGATTCCCTACCTTCTGTATTTGGGAAATTTTCAAAAGAACTAATTCTTCTGAGATTAGGAAACTACATAAATTTTTAGTACACTAAGTGATACAGTAGTAGTAGCAATTTACATATAACAGGAGAAAGTTCTTTGTGCACTTAAGTCCCATATAAATGCTAATATAATTTATCCTGGAACATAATTGATCCAAGCCAAATGACTTACTACTCCTTTAAATAAATAAATGCTTGCCTAACCGACATGGCTCAGTGGTTGAGCGTCGAACTATGAACCAGGAGTGCACAGTTCGATTCCCGGTCAGAGTACATGCCTGGGTTGTGGGCTCGATCCCCAGTGGTGGTTGTACAGGAGGCAGCAAATCAATGACTCTCATCATTGATGTTTCTCTCTCTCTCTCTCTCTCTCTCTCTCTCTCTCTTTCTCTTCCTCTCCCTTCCTCTTTGAAATCAATACAAATATATATATTTTTAAAAGAATAAATAAATAACTGCTCCTTTAGCTTGGGCTTCAGTTCCTCCTTGCCATTGTCATTTCCCTGCTTATATCACTGACTGCAGACAACAGGTCATGTCTTTGACCTTCCAGGTTCATGTCTTTTTGTAGCTTTTAGCTATTTTTTTCCCCTAGTAGTTCTTAGCATTTTTTTCCAAGCCTTACCTCATTGTAGGCTTTATGCTTGCTGTTTACATTTTTATAATTAAGTGTCACTGTTCTATCTACTTCTGTATTCTGTATGCATCTTTCCAGCTTTTGTATATGTTTCATCTCATAGAACACCCTGTACAATTACATAAGATGTTAAATAATATACCCTTTTCTTCCTCTTAAATATCATTTACAATTGTATTTTCAGATTATCTTTTATGAAAGCTGTTGGAAGCTACCCATTGTCTTCACTATCAGAAAAGTGTAAACAAGAATCCCGGAATGCTGGTGAACCTTGAGCTCTGGCAAGGGCCAAAGCTATGCACCAATTGTTTAGTCGAGACAATTGTGGCTCAAGCAATTTCCTGACAAAATAGTCTCAAAGTAAATCTTTACTAATATTTACTGACCTTTAAGATAGTCTGTCTATTACCGGAATTGCCTGCCTGACTAAGGGCAATAGGTGTATCCAAAATTGAATAAAGGTTGGCAGGGCCTGGGCACCAGCGAAGTCCTTCCCCTAGTGTTGGACTCTCCGCCTGGCCCCCAATTTCCAAATTATTATTTCTTGTCTCGTCTCATCATTTGCCCGCGGCCCTTCTCCAGATCCCAAACCCTAAGCCACACGGGACATGGCTTCTCACAGAAAGCATCTAATTAGTTTTAGAGCCCTTATGTTTCCTCTGAATTCTTTGAAACCTACCTTCTTGCAGTCTAGAATATAGGTCTTATTTTTAAAAACAGTCTTGACAAGGAAGATTTGCCATTGTTGAAGTCAATTTTTGTATTAACTTCAACCTATTTCAGGAAACTAATGCCTGGCCGGTGTGGCTCAGTGGTTGAGTGTTAACTTCTGAATCAGGAGATCACGGTTCATTTCCCATTCAGGGCACATGCCCAGATTGTGGGCTCGATCCCCAGTGTGGGGCGTGCAGGAGGCAGCCAATCAATGATTCTCTCTCATCATTGATGTTTCTCTCCCTCCCTTTCCCTCTCCCTTCCTCTCTGAAATCAATAAAAATACAGATTTTTTAAAAAGAAAACTAGTATGTTTGACACTTGAGTTTTGACAGGTGTTTTCATGATCAATTTCATTTATCCCACAGATAGAGAAGTTTTTTCCTCATGTCCTTGAAAAGGAGAGAACACGCCATGAGGAGGAGCCTTCCAGCCTTTCTCCAGAAGAGTTTGCCTTTGCCAAAGAGTGAGTGAGCAGTGAGTGTGGGCACTGCCTTTCTTTCCCCGGCCTGTGAGCATGAGTTTTGGTGGTTGTGTCCACAAAACTGATCTCAGAGCCATTGTCTGTCTGATAGTCCTGGTGGCTCCTACCAGTTGGGTTGTCATAGCGATTTTAATTTATGTATTTCAGGTACATGGTGAACATAGAGACCTATCTAAAGAATGTAGCCTTAAAGCATATGCCTCCTAATTTACAGAAAGTGGACCTCTTGAGGTCAGGTAAGAACTTTTTTTTTTCAGTCATCCGGAGGGGCCATCATTTATATGCCAGGTATCTTCAGGTGCTTGAGAATAAGATCTTTACCTTTACTCTTTTTCTCTCAAACATGAAAATAAGTATGTAGATAAGCTGGAAAGAAAAGAGAAGAAGGGTCTTGAGTTCGAAACAAAATCATTTAAAGCAGGTATAAGAGTAGCCAGGTGTTCTTCAAGGTTAGGTTGAAATTCTTCTGGCTGCCATTATAGATGTAGACTCCCTCACACATTCAGTCACTTGTTCCTTCAGCGGTCATCCAGTGGTCTAGTGGGCATCTGCACTGTGCTGGCCCTTCGGGGCACTGATGATACAGGGTCTCTGCTCTCAAAGAGCTGGCAGTGTCTTCCTCACAGATGCCAGACTGTGCAGAGACTGTCCAGCTTCCAAGGAGGATTTAAACGGGAGGCTAAGGAAACCTTCAGTGATTCCTTCTTACCCATAGTAAAGGTTCCTAATCTTTTTGTTGTGAAGAGTTTCTCTGATTATGGAAAAGGTGGGGAACGGGACTGAGTGTGGTAGGGAAAGAGGCGCTGGGGGATGTGAAGCATGGCCAACACCTCCACCTCTTGCCCTCTTTACAGAATCCCCTTAAAATTCTGCTGAGGGGAGGGACTTATGGTAGTAACTCCTAACCTTGGATCAACCAACTGGAGACCCCTAGTGTATAGGTTAAAGTCCGTATCTGTCTTTCACAGCTCACCATATCTGAGCAGGACCTTGTCAGACAAAATTGCCAAACCAAATCCAACAGTGCTCCAGGGACAGGAATCCACCTTGTTCACAAACTAAGCTTAGTGTGCTGAAGCCACTAGTTCAAGTACAACTGAGCCCTGGCAGTTTATCTCCTACCAACCTGTGCTGGGCCACACTGACCCCTGTGGCAGGTGGGAGAGCTAGGACAGGATGCATGGAGACGTGTTCCCCAGATGTCTTAGTCAGCTCAGGCAACGATGACAACGTACCACAGACTGGGGGTCTCAAACAGCAGACATTTATTTTCTTACAGATCTGGAGGCCAGAAGTCCATGATCAAGGTGCTGGCAGGGTTGGTTTCCTCCAAGGCCTCGGTCCTTGGCTTGCAGATGGCCACTTTCAGCCTCTTCACATGGCTGCCCCCGTTGCACCTCCCCCCACCCCCGAGTGTCTCTTCCCCTTCTTATAAGGACACCAGTCAGATTAGATTAGACCCCACCCTAACGGCCTCATTTCAGCTTAAATGCCTCTGTAAAGGCCCCATACCAAACACATTTCCATTCTCAAGTACTAGGGGTTAGGGCTTCAGCACATGTATTTGGTGGAGGGCACAGTGCCCACCAGGAGCAAGCCAAACCCATACCAGATTGTAGAACTCTGAATTGGTCATTTTGGTGAACCTGCCTGAGGGAAACAGAAGGCCCAGTCCATGTCCAGTTCAGCTACTTTTGTCTGCACCTTAGAAGAACAGGAATGCAGCAAGGACCACATCCCTAATCATTACCCATTGCTATGGCGACCAGTTGATTAAAGCAGCCATAGGACTACTGATGGGCATGCATCTGAATTCCTGGACCTGGACCTACGCCGTTGTCCCAGAGCTTCTACCTGATGCTGGTGGACACCTCCTAAAACACAAGTCGCTGTCCTGGATTCCTTACAGGGACTAGAGCCAGTCTTGGAATTGGAAGCTGGGGGACAGCCTGTCCTGGTGAAATTGGAGTCTTGCTTTGTTAGCCCAGATGCTGTGAGTCCCCCTCAGGCCTCTGGAGCACTGTAGACCCCCGATGGCAGGGTGGGGGAAGGCATGTTGAAATCTAAGCTGAGTTTCCTGGAATCAGTAGATTCCTAGTGAGGTTAACTCACCCTGAAGTTGGAGTCTCTTTGGCAGGCCCAGAACCCTGGAGCAGTCAGGGCGCCCTCCGTAGACCTTTGGAGCCAGTTATCCTGAACCCCCTCCTGTAAATGAGGGAATCAAGGGCAGTGTGGGACCTGAGTTGGGCTCTAAGAACTGAGAGTTATCCAGTAGGCTCTGGATGCTGCCGTTGGTGGGGTCTTCAGGTACAAATGGAGCGCTAGGAAATGAGCTGTTGAGCAGCCCAGCTTGAGGCATTTGAGATATTGGTTGGTGGTTGAAGAGGAGGGATGGCACAGCTTCTTTATCCGTAATCAACCAGTGAGGGACCACTTAGGCTATCATTCAAGACTATCACTTTATATCCCAGTGTTTCTAAGGTGGCAGGACCCCGAATAACATTTCAGTCAATGTCCCTTCATTATAACATTGATGAAATGCCATAGGAACTTAATTCTTGTTTATATCCATTAGCCTACGGTAAAATTGGTTTTGTTACACATTATTTCACTTAGTCGCAGAACCTATCAACAACATTAAGTGAGGACTTACTGTACTCTCTCCTCCTACTCCTTAATATTAGAAATATTTCCTAACCAGATTTGCACACTCTGTCCCCCCAGGAGGTCATGCATATTTCTGCCGTGGCCTTTGCCATTGCCTACCAGGGTCATGTTCCTCTTTAAATCCTGCTCTTTCCTTTAAAGCGCACATCAACTCCCCACATCATTGGGGAAGTGTGCGGCTTCATCCAATTCTGCTATCACCACCTTGTCCAGAGACCATGTGTTCCGCCTGCCTGTGTCCTCCACAAGGCGTAGCAGAATTCCCTGCACGTCTGAAGTCCTCATCATTTGTTGAATGAATGGTTGCTCTGTGGAACCTGGGTGGGAAGTGTGCTGTTTCTAGAAGCCAGATCTCTCCTCAAACCATCCTACCCCAAAATGCTTTTACATCACGGGTCTTTACGTGCTCAGTACAGTTAATCCCAGCAACTTTTCCCATATTGGTTGTGTTTGCTAAGGATTTTCTGATTGCATTATTGTTTTTTTGGCAGTTCCCAAACCGGATCTAGATTCATATGTGTTTCTGAGAGTGAAAGAAAGACAAGAAAACATCCTGGTAGAACCGGAAACAGATGAGCAGAGGTGAGTGATGTGTGTGATTTTGACAGTGGGAAATATTTCTCCCGATAGACCACCAGCTGAGCTCTGCACATATATTTTTTTCCTTCTTTTTTAGGGACTATGTGATTGACTTGGAGGAAGGCTCGCAGCACTTGATCCGATATAAAACCATTGCGCCTCTAGTTGCTTCTGGAGCTGTACAACTAATTTAAAACCAAAAATAAATAAACAAGAATGAAGACATTGAACCTTAGAGAAAATATTTAGAAACCTCACTTATCACTCTGTGTCTAAGGACAACAGGCTTTTGTCAGCAGTGCTGTGAGTCACTTGGGCACTGAGAAGGCACTCAAGGTTCCTAACTTGCGCGTGCCCTAACTTCCTGCCGGTTTATGTAGAATCAGCAGGTGGGGCCATCGCTCTGTTCAGTCTATACTGGGCAAGTACATGACTGACTCACTTTGTGCACCTGTTCCCTTTGTGGCATTTTTTTTTTTAATATTTTTACTGTAGAAATGTGAGGGGTTTTTTTTTCCTTTAAATATATTTTTGTTGATCTCAGAGAGGAATGGAGGGGGAGAGAGAGATAGAAATATCAATGATGAGCGAGAATCATTGATTGGCTGCCTCCTGCACACCCCAGTCTGGGTATCGAGCCCACAACCCAGGTATGTGCCCTGACCAGGAACTGAACCGTAACCTCTGGTTTATAGGTCGACGCTCAACCACTGAGCCATGCCAGCCAGGCCCTTTGTGATATTTTTTGAACTAAGGAAAGTGAGGCAAAGGTAATTCATAAAGAGGCATCACTGCTTGTGATATGGGGACTGTAGTTAGCGCTGACCCGGTGCTGGCAGGAGAATTCATTTAACCTTCCTAGTGGAAAGAGTGTAAATAGATGAAAGAAAACAGCTGTGACCTTCTCTGATGTGTCTCTAAGTTGTATAAACCTTTGGAACCTCTAACATTGGACATCAAATCAGTTTCTGTCTTGCTTAACTGAGAGTCACAACTAAACCAATAAATCATTAAGTTTCAGTTTTGTGGCAGAAGGAGCCTGGGGACAGTTCTCGGCTTGTAGTCTAACACAGCATGTTCTCCTTGCTGCTGACCTGCAGCCTTCCCGGAACCTCAGGCAGCTTCGCCAAGCCAGCCTCCAGGCCATCTGGTCATCCTTGGCCAAGGCGCTGTTAGCAGAATGGCATTAATACCCTATATTGTGACTGCAGTAGCAGATTTTCTTTTTTAAGCTTTACTTTATCAGGGGAAACAGATGACATTAAATTGATGCAAATGGAGATTATCACCCTGATGCCTGAAGAAGGGATGTGAACAGTGAATGAATTGTCTTACCTCGAAACATAAAAAGCAGTCTGCATTCCAGTCTTTTCTTGCTTAATGAAAAGACAGGCGGTTTTTATTTACATGGTATAGGCTGTTAGAGTAATCAATGTAATATTGCTATGATTTCCAAGAGAAATTGCCAAATGAAAGCAGGGCAGTTTCATTAATAAAAGCCTTTTAGCCCTGAGCCCAGCTCAGTTGGAGCATCATTCCGTACAGCAAAAGATTGTGGGTTTGATTCCTGGTCAAGGAGCATACCTCGCTAGGTTGCGGGTTCAATCCATGGTCAAGGTGTATATGGGAGGCAACCTATCAATGTTTCTCTCTCCTTCCCTCTCTAAAAATCAATGAAAACATATCCTCAAATAAAGCATTTTATATTTTATGTAGTAGCTTATTTTTTCCAGAATGTTTTTACCTTCTCTAGTCATCTTAACAAATGTGTATTGAGCATTTAGTGTGACAGGCATGGTTCAAGGCACTGAGGCTCCAACCCAAAATAAGACAGGAACTGTCCCTGCTCACATGGTGGTAAATGCCTTACAGAGAATTAGAAAAGGTGCCTCAGGGAGCGTGACTAGATTGGGTGGTCTGAGAGGTTCGCACTGAGTTCAGTGAATCTCACTGTAATAGGCTGAGAGCTGAATCACCAGAAGTAGCCAGGCACACACAGATCATAAGGAAGGCCATGCCAGGCAGAGAAGGCAGCTTGGACAAGGCCTTGAAGCAGAAATGGGCTCTGCTTGCTGTCAGTGTGGCTAGAACACAATGTGTGAAATTTTGCAGGATAAGACCCGAGAGGCAGGCTGGGCCCAAATCACTAATGGGTTTGTTAGCAGAGATCTCATTTGGTCCTCCCAGCAGTCCTGCGAGGTAGGCAGGGCTGGTAGAGTGTAATAGGTGGGAAACAAAGCGGGATGTTCAGTGATAAACCTGAGACTAGAACCTAAGGGTCCTCCTTCCTAGTCACAAGAATGCACACTCACTCACCAGGGCCCCCATCGTGCTAAGCAGTCAGGAGAGGAACGTGGACTATTACGCTGTTACTAAAGGCCCAGTACAGAGATTCATGCAGGGTGGAGGCGAGGGGGAGGGGTCCCTCAGCCCAGCCTGTGCCCTCTCGCAGTCCAGGACCTCTCTGGGGATGTCCGGCTTCTGGATGAGTGGCGCCCCCCCTGCAGGAGCACACTGACCACCAGGGGACAGCTCCTGTGTTGAGTGTCTCCCCCCTGGTGGTCAGTGCACATCATAGTGACCGAGTGTTCCACTGTTCGGTTGATTTGCATATTAGCCTTTTATTAGATAGGATAAGTACTTACTAAGCCTTAATATACACAGGGCCTGGAGATCTTGTTCAGATGTTAGATTCTGATACAGGAGTTCTGGGGTAGGGCCCAGGGTTCAGAGGACATCCTAGGCTGTACAGTTGCTGCTGACCCAGGGACCACATTTTGAGTGGCAGGACCCTACATTTTCATGTCTCCAGCTCCTGTCTTATGCATGCCCGGCTGCACGGAGGAGTTTAAGGTCTCTACTGAAGCCACAGAGTAAATTGCTCCATTTCCTAGTCACCTCTTCACAGGAAGACTGGCTTTAAAATAAATGAGAAGTTGAATTTCAAAACCAAATAGAAAGGGAAATGATGTGGCTTAATGTGACATTCATTGACTTTAACTTTTTCAGTTTGTGGTGTTTTGCTTTATTGTTAAAAACTCATCACAGGAAGCATGACGGAACATTTTCTTCGAATGATTGCATCATACTTTATTATCATGAGCTTGTCACTAGCAAGATGGCTATTCCTGAGAAGTGCTTGCAGGTTCATGCCTGGGTTTTCCCAGCCGCAGCGACCATGTGTCAGCTGTGACCTTCCCACAGGACCCCAGCTGTGTGTGCTGTGTGCTCTGTGCTCAGGTACCAAGTTCAGCACCATCCTCATATGCAGTGAACTTCCTTCTGTGATGTACACCAGGTTAACCAAAAAGCTTTTGGAGTGAATTGTTAAGCAAGCACATTATTTTTCAATTCTAAATGTAATTTTTTTAAAGTAATTTATCATGGGAGGCTAAACATCCCAAACATTTGGAATTCTTCAAGAATTGATTTTTCTTTTTGTGTGTGTGTTGTAAAATACACATAACATAACAATTGCCACCTTAACCATTTTTAAAAGTACAGGTTAGTGTTATTAAATACATTTACCTCATGCAACCATCACCACCATCCATCTCCATAACTCTTTTCACCTTGTAAATCTTAAACTTTATACGCACTAAACAATAACTCCCCATGCCCCTCTCCCCGCAGCCCCTGGACACCACCCTTCTACTTTCTGTCTTTATAATCTTGACTACTCCAAATGCCTTATATATGTAGAATCATGTCATATTTCTCTTTTTGTGACTGGTTTATTTCCCCTAGCATAACGTCCTCAAGGCCCATCCCTGTTGTAACATGCATCAGACTTTTCTTTTTAAGGCTGAACAATATATCATGGTGTGTATATACCACATTTTGTGTATCCAGTCATCTGTCGATGGCAATGTATTGCTTCTACCCTTTGTCTAGTGTGAATAGTGCTGCTATAAACATGGGTATACAAATGTCTTTTCAAACTGTTTTCAGTTCTTTTACATACATGCCCAGAAGTGGGATTGCTAGATCATATGGTAATTCTAGTTTTAATTCTTTGAGGAACCACCATACTGTTTTTCACAGCAACTATCCCATTTTACATTCCCACCACAGTACACATGGGTTCCAGTTTTTCAAATTCCTTGCCTACACTGGTTTTCTATTACTTTTTATAGTAGCCATCCTATTGTGCGTGCAGTGTTATGTCATTGTAGTTTTGATATACAATGATTACAATTTCTAATGATTAGTGATGCTGAGCATCTCTTCATGTGATTATTGGTTATTCCTGTATCTTTGAAGAAATGTCTATTCAAGTCCTTTTTTGTTCTTGAGTTTTACGAATTCTCTGTATATTCTAGGTATTAATCCCATATCGGATAAATGATTTGCAAACATTTTCTCCCATTCTGTGGGTTGCCTTTTTACTCCATGAATAGTATTTTTTTATGTATAAGATATTTTAAATTTTCATAATATTTGGTTTGTCAACTTTTTCTTTTGTCACCTGTGTCTTTGGCCAGGGGTGGAGGATGGGTAGCTACTACTGTGCTAAGAGCTGAAACTGACCAAAATTAGCTGCAGTTTACTGTTCAGATCTTCCCTGGAATTTGGGAACCTTCAACAGACTCCAGAGTCCCAAAATAGTTATATCAGACAGATTCTGCCAGTGCACTTGTCTAGGTGGAAAGAGAGATTTCTGGTGCTTTCTACTCTACCATCTTCCCATAATCCTCTAAAAATTGATTTAGCATATCTAATGGAAGTAGTCTCATCTTGTAAAAAAAGAAAAATACTTTTTTAAAAAGAAAAATCAGTATTTTTTTACTTATTTAACAGACTTGATTTCAAATAACTTAGCTGTTTCCAAAAAAATTGAATATTCCTTCCATGGCTGAAAAACAACTATCACAGATATCCAAAGGAATGTACTGTAAATTCTGAAGACAATAATAATAATGAATAAGGCTTACCAACTATTTATTATGAATCAGACTGTTAGGTAAAGTTGTAAATCTTCACAACAACCTTGTGCAAGGAAAAACTAACGGGTTGGAATGAGTAAAAAAGATTACTCGATTATCCTCTCATTGGGATGCTTGATCATGCCTTTGAATAGGCTATTTGACACTTCGATAGAGGTAGAAGTTAATTTATATAAAACTGATAATAATGAGAATATTTCCTAACTGGTGCTATGTAAAGGATTCCTGTCCAAGGGAATGCAAGTGATTTTGTCCTGTAGAGAATAATAAAATCAAATCCTCATTTGAACCACGTTTAGCATTTTCCTGGTTCTCTCATTAAAGAGCAAGTTAAATAAAATCTTTGGCACGTGTTCATTTTATATCTGCATGAGAGTCAACAGTTCCTACCATATAAGTGTTCACAAATAGATTTTAATCTTTATACATTTATAGCATAGGTAATGTTGGTATCCTTGTTTTATAGATGAGAAATAGACTATGGTAATGAAGGCCACATAGATACTAGGTAGAGGAGATGGGATGCAA